ATATTCATTCATTATTTATAACAAATCTCTGTTTCCCCTGTCAGATCTTTTGTTATTTAGATGAACTAAATCACTCATTGTTCTGTACCTTTGGACTTGAGCTTCTATTCAATATATCAGCAGATTTAGATTATCTCTGAACTATTCTAGGTGCTATATTATTGTTCAGTTCTGCCTTCTAAATTTGTTCGATATCATTATGTATTGTACTTATAACAAAATAAATCATGGTTGAATAACTTCTAATCTTGGAGTGTAAAGTGCCATTGACCTTATATAACTTAAGCATGCATTTCTTTTTAACCATCACATCAACTTATTACTTATTTTTTCCTACTATATCATTTTGTGTCTTAACTAAAGCTGTACATGAATGTATATAAACTTCTGAAACGCTAGATTACACTACAGTTTTCAACTTTTTCTCATTATCTCATTTTTCAGTTTCCCTGTAGGTATATAACCAACACAATTGTAGTGATGTCTCTCGCAATTTTATCACCTCTAGAAAATATCAGCATCAGGTAATTATATCAATGTAATTCATTCTTGTTAACCTTATTCCAAATTCTAAAGAATGTAGATGCAAAAACTGCCATTGCCTGATTGTTTAAGCATATGTCAGCTTCTCATGCTTTTGGATACACCAAAAGACACTGCTACTGTATTTGACAAACTATTAAGAACAGAAGACAAAATTAATGCTTTATTGGCAACTTCAAATAGCATTTGACCTTGTAAACAATGAACACCAAGCTATTTATGCTGAAAGAAATGTAATCAAAATTCTGAAAGAAATGTCTCCCACACAGATCCAAAGGAAACTATTTATGCTGATTGATTATCAAAAATAAAAGAACTACTGTCAAACCTAAAATGCGTGATTCCAGAGTATCAACCGTAACTTTAAGGAGACTTCCTCAACAACCACAAATGTTCATCTTTGTTAGCCTTACCCCCAAATCTCAACTTTTCATTTTATCACTATAGACTAACCTTTGTTCAATTGCCACTTTAGCTTAAATGCATTTGACTTTTCTTAGTATATGGCATACTCAGTTCTCCTTTATTTCTTCTCTATGTGCCACTTTAAATAAAAGACATTCAAACTCTCCTTAGCAAGTATGTGACAATTCAATTCTCATTTATTCATTCTCTAATTTCCAATGTATAAAAAAGCAGAGGGTAAAAATTTTGGATGGCTCTCTAATTATTAAGTTGGTCAACTTTTAACTCTCTAACTATTAAGTGCATACTTTTGCTTCCCCAAACTTGTAAAAGGGTATATTCCCTACCCTTGATGTATGTTAACATTACTTGCCACTCCTTCTCTTTGTTTTCATATTTGGTAAATGGAAATCAAGCCTTTCAAATTCTTGAAGTGGCTGATAATTGTGATTTGTAATTCCTGACTAACATTTATTGACTCAGAGTATGTAAATTTATTAAGCTGAATTCTGCTGCTGTTTCTCATTAGTTTTGACTTTTGGGGTCTTTCAGGGGATCAAGCTTGAGCTATGTATGTCAAGTTGGCAAGTTGTCATCTGAAGGTAAGTATTCGAAAGTTGTTGATTGCTTGGATTTATCTACCTCCTATTTTTGTGTATCAATTCTGTAGCTGTTCTCGTTTGCTGTACCAAATTTCGTAATTTTGATATCACAGTTGGATAGCAAACATGAAGCTGCAAATGCTTATGCTGATGCCACTCATTGCTATAAGAAGACAAACATTAAAGGTTTGGTCTCTTACCAGTTTTGACACATTGTTTGAGCTCAGACTACAGCTGTCAGTTATCACTCAATACAATCATTCATCTGGTGGCTGATTGTTTCAGCTTAAATTGAAGATCAGTCTTAGTTTTTAGTTATTGATTACATGATGTTTTTAGGAACTTGTCCATACTTCAACACCAAAAAAGTAGATTAAATATTGTCTTAAACTTTATTTCCTATGCCTGCTTTCTTTCTCATATTATCAGTTGGTTTCTTCATCAGCCAATTTTATCCCATCTTTTTTTGCTAATAAGCGCTACTAAAGAAATGCAACCGCACTAAAGAAATCCCATCTTTGCAAATTCAACCGCACTTAAGAAATGCAATGAAATTTATTTTTAATCCTAATTTCCAGCCTAGCTTTTATCTGTTTTGATATTCTTGTTCCTTTCTTCCTCTGATTTTCATCCAATCCCAATTTGGGATTTAAGCCATCATCTTTTCACTTAGATTATAGAGCTTTTATTTTACGAACTGTTGATGGCTAATAATTTTATTCTTCACACAGTCTATATCTTCCTTGGAGCAGTCCGTGAATTTGTTCTTGGAAATTGCAAGGCTCAATATGTCCACAAGATACTACAAGGTGCAATCTATGTCACTTCACCTAAATAAAATATCTTTTGCCTCTGTAGTCATCTTCCATCTTATTCTTGAAGCTCATTTCTCTTTTCTGAAAGAACAGAATGTCTTTTAGATAGATTTGATACTTTTGTGATTCATATGTAAAGTTTTCATGTCTCATGTAAAGTTTTTCGATATATTGTAACATCAATACGTACAGACTATTGGTCAACTTATCAGAACTCATAACCTACGATGCTATATATTTACTGTCTATCATGCCATGATGGCTGTGATATCTGCTTTTATCTCTTAATCTATGTTTCCTTTTGAGTGTTAGCTGTTGATTCCTTTATTTGAATCTAAGAAATTGCTGAACTATATGAGTAAGAAGAGAATTTGGAGCAGACTATTGTCTACTATGAGAGAGCACCTGATCTTTTCCAAAGTGAAGGTATCAACACCACTGCAAATCAGTGGGAACAGAAAATTGCCCAATTTGCTTATGTCAAGAAAACTAAAAAGTAAATGCAGAAATGAAAAGATGGTACTAAAGTTTTAAGGTTAGGAAGACTGAGTGCCAGCTAAACTAAGATTACTTCATAAGACTTTTTGTTTTTACCCTATACACAAGATTTAGTGTGTGTGTGTCTTTAAAACTGATACTCATAATGCCCTGCAGATATCCAAAGGCAATTGAAACTTATGAAGACATAGCCCAACAATCACTTAACAATAACTTGTTGAAATACAGAGTCAAGGAGCACCTTCTTAATGCTGACATATGCCAACTGTGTAAAAATGATGTTGAATCAATCAATCATCCACTGATTAGACTCTTGAGAGTTTTGCTTTTATTCTCTCTGTCTCACATTGGTATGTACAGGAACTTTATCCAACGTTCTCGGGAACACAAGAGTACAGACTTTTAGCTTTTAGCTTTTCCACCTTTTTAAAAAATTGTCTCCCACAGGTTATTCAGCTTAGTAGCTACCTTAGGCTTCATTTGGATAGGGAGAAAAGGACAGAAAAGAAAGTATTCAGAGAGAAAGAACGGTCATTTCTTTCATTTGGGAGTTTAACAAGACAGAAGAGAAGTGAAATGAATGGATAAAAGTCCACCTCCAATTGTTGAAAATGTTTCCGCCCAAAAGTGGGAAGAAAAGGACGGAAACTTGTTGGGCTCCAAAAGACATTTTTAATATGTCAAGTTTGCCCTTTAAAAGCTGATACAAAAATTTATTATTCCCAATATATCCTAAAATTGATTTCTATAAAAGCACCGCAAAGCTTTCTCGGTCATGTGTCCTGTACTTTCAATACTTCCAGCAAGTTGAGAAAACTTGGCTTTCTTCCGTTTTTCACCAGTAATTCACCAAACAAAAGGTATTTTGTGTAATAGAAAAAACCCATAAAGAACTGATATGTTATGGGTAATTTCTTTTTATTTTTTTACTTTCACGTATTTAATTTATGTTAAATATAAAACCTACTAGTTTTCATTTCGTAATAATATTAGTATAACACTTTTTGAATTTGGCTTAATTAAATTTATGTATTTAATATAAATTAAATGATTCAAAGTAAAATGCTCATAAATAGCTAGTATTTTATTCATATAATGAAAGAAACTCGTAAAGAACTGGTATGTTATGGACAAATTTTTTTTACTTTCAAACACTTCATTTATATTAAATACAAAATATGCTAGTTTTCCTTTCGTAAAAATATTTGTGTAACGGCTTTTGAATTTTATTTGCAAATATTTATGTATTTAACATAAATTAAATGATTCAAAATAAAATATCCATAAAACCTGGTACTTGGCTCATGTAATAGAGAAAAGCCATAAAGAGCTAGTACTTTATGGGATATTTCTTTTTTAAAAAATATTTAATTTATGTTATATAGATAACCTACTTGGCATTTCCGGCCAATATCAAAAATCATATGTCAAGAATACCTAAAAGATACTACAAGGACTTGAGGCGATTTACATGCATGCAAGAGAATCGAAGTCTAGCAAGAAATTTGTTTTATTATTCACCTTGTGGGAATGCAAATGCAATTGTTTTAGAAATTTGTCTTGTTCAAATATTCTATTTATGGGAACAAGAAAGCTAATTTTTGGAATTTGATTTATAAATTGAAAGGGTAAATATGTAAAGTTGTATTCTCATAAAATCCTTTCTTTCCATATCTCTCCGACTCTCAAACAAGGGAAAGATATTTCTTTTCTTTTCTTTCATTAAACTCCCAAACGGAATATGCATCTTTTCCCTTCTCTTCCTTTCTTTCCTAAGCTTTCTTTTCTTTTCTTTTCTCTTCCTTCGTAAACTCCCAAACTAAGCCTTAGTCTCACTTTGGCAGCATTAGAAACTTCTAATCAAGATATTCTTGATGATATTCTTGAATTAAAAATTTAATGAATACTTCCTTATTTGTGGGAAGGAGAAATCAAAATTCAGTTGCTTAGTTGCTCTTACATTTAGTTTTGCCACTTGCTTATGGTTTATGTTCTGAGCTATAAAAATTTGACATCAAGACTTTGCTTCTCCAAACAACTTTTCATATGGTGCGTTTGCTCTAAATTTTTTTAAACTCTTGTACGACAATTGATAAAAATACAGATATTGATCAATCCATCTGATTGAGTAGCTAACCTTAAAATGCGGACTGCTCAAATCACCTCCTTGCTCTCTAAATCATATAATTCACATGTTCATTATAGTCCAGCTCTTGCGATTGCCATATCATGTACTGCTACTAATGTCAGCGAAACCATATCATTGGTGAAGCTTTTCACATCAGATATAGTTGACATCAGATGACTGAAACCAATAATTCCACTGTCACTGCATTGAGGTAGTTTATTCCTGTTAACTGTGTGTGTACCTACTTGGCTATCTAATTCATTTCAAGTAAGCCAATTTCTTGCCTCATTTAACAGATAGCAATTGAAAAAAATTATTCTCGATAACAATCAGAACAGTTAACAACATACATGCAGTTTTAGCATCACTGGTGAAAGGAATGTGACAATAAAGCTGATTTCAAACAAAAAACATAACAAAGTAACTGCAGTTGTTGCTCTTACTCTTTTTAACCAATCTTGGTACTCGAATCAACTCATATACTTCCTTAGCTTGTCCTCTGGCACTTCAACTGTCATGCTTCCTACAGCCGTTTTTATGAACACCACCTAATGCAAGTAGCAAAAAGACATATGAGTCAATTTGCAATGAATAACCATTGTGTATCACCCTAGAAGATTGACAATTTGCAATGAGTCAACACCAAATGCACACATCAGCTACATACTAAGATAGATCTAACTACAAATTCAGTTCTCAAATATTGTTAGCGGACATGCTTTACACTTAAATTTCAATGTGCCGAGATTATTCTGTAAAGTTCAATACTAGAACACAACCCAAATTGGTTTGAAACTCTAATGAGGTGAAGAAACAGAATCTATCCAACTTAAACTCACATTGCAATCACTGTACGTTATGGAGGAAAGCCAATTCATGGACAGCAGAGTCAGAGAAAGCTCACATATTCCTTTCTCCATCTTTATTCAATTGACAAATTTCTTACCCACATCCACTCATTGAGTTTCATACATCAAGTTTCAAAATGTTGTAAAGTGCTTTCTCAGAAAAGCCAACAATAGAATGATAAGCTGGAAAACAACAATACAAGACATTACATTGGCTTTCCAGTGTACCAGAAAACAAATTTTAAATTTCTAAACCGAAATCCTAAGCTGCTAATATTCCTTTCACTCTGATTGTATTTCAGATTCACAGGACAAATGTTCAGACCTTATTTCAACTTACTAACAACAAAGCGTTTAACTATAAACATTTTACCAGTCCACTAACCAGCCTAATCTCAATTAATTACATGTAACATTTCATCCATAGCTGCAGATCCACAAAAAACCACCAAAATTTTTCTGCCCCATTTCAATCCATAGCGGAAGATGCTCAAAAACCATCGAAAAATTTTATATGACATCAATTTCAAGAAAAAAGTATAGACCCAAAGGGAAAAAAATAAAATTTTCGATGGACAATCAACATCATCAACCCATATAAAACTCATGCACACTGTTCTCCTATCAAACTATGCAACATATTGTTATTCCTGAAAAAAATCCTAAAGCTTAAAAATTTATCCAAAGTTTCCACCAAATATCACCAGTTTTCCACACAAATATTCCGCAAAACACTAACTGTAAATTCCGACAGTTAATGATGGTGAATGATACGTATAATTAAGTAAATTTCAAATATTAGTAACAATTCACACAAAATAAACTGAATGAGATTCTGACCATCTTCGCCTTCCTCCTCATCTTCTTCTTCCTCACTATCAACTTCAGCTTCAAGTTCAAAAAAATGAGACCCCGACCTCTTCTTTGCATTCCTCTTTCCACTGCCACCGCCGTAATCCTCATCATCATGGTCTTCCTCCTCTCCCTTATCATCTTCCTCTGGCAAATCATCAATCAAATGCAATCTCCGCCGTTATCATCTCGTCGTCGTACCCCTCCTCTCATCTTCGCGGCATCGCAAATCCCGCTTCGTAATTCTCCTTAAAACTGCAATTAAGCTCTTCGCAATGCTTGATTATGTCGGTCGCTGATTACAAAGATGACGATTTGTGAAACCCTAAATGCAAAAATTGGGGATTTTGAAGAGAGAGAGAGAGAGAGAGAGAGTGGAGTATATTATTCTTGTTAATTTATGATGAGGAAGGTCAGCGGCGGACGGACGTGGGTTGACCTACCATTGCAGTGAAGATTGAGAAAACAGAATTTGAGCTCGTCGAGTGTAGTAGGCTAGCACCAAACAAACGTACAGTAAGCCGTCAATTATTGACTTTTTTTTATAGCACCATAGACATTATTATTCAACTTTTATAACAAGGAGTGCACTCTATCAGTTTTGCATCAGTTCTGCCGTACACGTTTTGTTCCACTTTTACCCTTTACTCACCCGTGCATAATTACTCGTGACAATTTGAGCTCCATATCCTCTGAATTTACAACCCAGCTTTTCACTGAACCTCTGTGCTGCTATTTATTTTGTATAACCAATATTCAAAGCTTGAACACGTCTGAATAGCTCTACATTAATCTTAAATCAAATTAAAAAAAAAAAAAACTTAAAGCCTACAACATATGCATGAGTCTAATATATACTACTTTTGCATGGCGGAGAAACTTACGAACAGGTCTAAAGCTCCCACGCCTCGCGTGGGAAGCCAAACCTAGTCTTTATATATTGCGAGATAATTTTTCAAACTAAATAAATTTACTAGATACGAAATTCACAAAAGACTATCTTCATATAAGTAAGTGGATGAATAATTTTTTTTTTTTTTTTTTTTGAGTTCATGCTGACTGTAAGCATCCTTCAAAAGAACTGCAACTAAGTGACGTTAAATAGATAAAATTCTGTTGATCACCAAAATTTAAGTCACAACAAAATCCATCTACTCATGTATGTTATTTTAGTCCTTAACCTTCCAGACCCAAGCTAATAATTTTTCCAATTCTAAGGCCATTCCGTCGTGTCTGCTGACTTTTTGTGGAAGCGTGATGGGCTTTCTTCAGATGTGGGTGCTGAACTTTGGAGAATTTGGCTGGTTGAGGTTTGAAGAAAATGGGAAAGAGAGACTGTTTGTTATTTTGATAGATACTCGTGGGAGTCTGAAGAGAGTCCCAATTAGACCTATATTTTAAATGAATATTATTGGGTATATTTTCAAAAATGTTCAATCGCATATTTTTATACCCATCCCGCCCAAATTAAATATGGGTATGGGAACCCTTTCGATCTTGGGTATTTTTGCCTCCTCTACCTCAAGTGTTGTCTTCAATTTTAATAATTTTTTTCGTTGGTGCCATAGGATAACAATTTTTTCTGCACGAAAGACTGTCAATTTTGGAAGAACAAGCCAAAGCTTATTTAAAATTTAAAATTGGCTTCAATTTTCTTCAAACCAGGGATAGTAATTAGGAAAAATTAGGGCACTATTTGATAGGGAAAACTACCCAAATCTCATTGGAGAAAAAAGGATTTGGAGGACTTAGGTTCTGCGGTGAGTTGAATAAGTGCGTATTGAAATTCATCCATCAATTTAACTTTTGGAATTATATCATCATGGAATCACTAACTTCTTAACTATTGAATTCCAAATTATTTGCTCAAAAATCAAAATCAAAATAGCAAAAAAGAAATTCAAATTTCTTAATTCAATTTGAGAACCAAATTTATCGTTTAAGCATAGTGCAGAAATATTTCCTACGAGTGCAATTCAAAAAAACATGAAGAACGGCTATTCAGACACCTTAACCATGTTGAGCCCAATTCAAAAAATTGAATTCAAATGACAGCCCAATCTCTAGTCTTGCCAATGCTTCTTTTTTTTTTTTTTTTTTTTTTTTTAAATGACAACTATCTAATTTACTCCTATTCTGTGGAAGAGAGGGAGCTTAAAGACACTTGTATAAGAATTGGAGGGTGAATCATCTGACTAAACAAGTGCACTGCTGCTCCATCTGAATTTTTTTAAGAACAAAAAGCGATATGCTTCATGTGCGATGTGATGTACTAGATCCTGACCTAGTGGACGGGAGAGTTTCAAACTGGCCATTGAACCAAGGTCCAATCGTGTCTGGTCTGACCAATGCAAGCGAAAAAACTCCCGACTCCTGTATCTTGAGCATTTGTTCTCAATTGGTCTCAGTGTCTAGGAGATGCATGCTGAGCTTGAAATCAGAGCATGTCAAAGTTGCAATCGAGTACTAAGACAGCTACACATTCGATCTTCCCAAGGCTTTCCAAGTATCAGAGATTGACATGCTGCCATGAAAGAAGACCTGAGTACTACTGAGCATGTCAAAGTTGCATGAGTGCGGTTTTATTACAAGTCACGAGCAGGCAATCTTGTACTGCTATCCTACTTTAGATCCTCGGCCCCCAATCCAGAGCCTCAACTCGTCCTCGTGCTGGAAATGTTATCGTGTATATTATAGTTGCAGCAAGTGACAAGTCAGGGTGAAATATTTGGTGGAATGTCATAATTTAATCTTACCTCATCCAAAATATTAAATTATCTTAGCAGAATGCCAATTATATGCCTTATTAAAAATGACAAAAAATATTAAATTATATTATTCAAGCTTTATTTTATTTGATGGATGCTGATTGAGCTCAAACTTGAGCATAAGTTTGGATTCAATCTCATATAAGTAAATGGCATGACAAGCACTTTTTAGCCAAATCAAGCTCAAGGTTCAGCTGTTGACAGACAATACAAATCATTCCTCAATATAATTAGTACGGTTTGGTCCTTTTTTCCTACTTAGTCTTGCTATGATATACCGATTGGCCAAATTCAGGAGTGGTTGTACTTTGGAGACACAATATTGATCCAATAAGTAAAAACAGAATGCAGGCATGACCTAATTATCTGGATTGCACTTGCAGGGTACAAAGTATATTTTTGCATTGTATGTTCTGCCAAAAACAGATTTGGTTCTGTTGATTCACGTATTTCGGTTTATGGCATGATGACGCTGATGAAACTCTGCAATTTCTTGCAGATATGTTGCAGATATGCCATAACATGCGATAAAACGCCTCTACTCTCTAGACAAGCAAACATAATGAGAGGAGAGATGAAAAAGCCCATTAATGCTCGTTAACGAACTATACAAAAACTACAACAGCGTGAAATGGAATATCTGCTACTTCTGTTACATGTACATAGAAGATCTGATGCATCGCTTCCTGCTCGACATCACTACTACATTCCCGAGCTTTGTGTTTGATTCAAGAGTTGAGGACACCTGATTGCAGATTGGGTTTTTTGAGTTTATTAGCCGGTTATGTAGAAAGTTTGTTTGTTATTAAATACGCAGTGCTGCCCTGACCTTGATAATCAGCTTATTGGTGCATTTGTTTCAGTATTGACATTTGATACATAAAATTTGTGGGTTTGATTCTTTTGCTCCTTAAGTTAGACGCCTTGATGCTTGGATTGGCAGAAGTTTACAGAGCTTTTCGCCAAGAACTAGATAAAATTTTCATAATCTTGAACCCAGTACGATAAAAACTGAAAAAGTTTCATACAAAAGTAAGTGCTCAAACAGTTGGTGACGAAATTAGTCACACAAGAGCTTCCCATTAGCTAAAACTAAACTAAGCTACTGGACTGAAAAAGCAAACTGGGACTCGAGTACTACTACTACTGTAGGAGCTTGAAGAATTGTTCAATGATGGCAACGCAATTTCCAGAAAAGATCAGCTTGCAACCAATCCACTATCATGCGGTAAGCCTCCTGTGTTAAATGAATTCCATCCCAGCTGACGTATCTTTCGGGATCACGGCAAGCCTTAACACCTGGAAATCCACACATTCGCGTCTCATTGAAGTTGTACAGCCCTCCAACTCCACAACAAGCTTTTTGTAGCTCAAAACCTAATAAGACAAACAAATTAGATGACCAGATGTGGATGCTTCAGATACCCCTTCCTCCTACTGGAAATAATTGATTTCTTTTAAGAATTCAAACTGGTAAATACTAACAAACTTACCTTCAGTTTCACCTAGATTGAGAAGCTGTTCATATGCAGCGTAGTAGTCTCCATAGACGATTGTTACATATGGGTACTTCTCGTGCAGCTCGGCAATCGCCTTCTTCAGGTGATCATTGTGGAAAGTTGCAAAGCTGTTCAATAGCCATATGCAATGATTCTCGTTGAACTCGCCTGCTTCGCTTTCCAGCCCAAACTTTGTAAGATAAATTGGCAGACATCCCATTGGAAAGTTCCCGGGAACCACTATTGTCCTTGCTCCAAAACTAATCACTTTCTGAAATACAACATTGAAAGAAAAGGAGAAGGAATTAGAAGCAAGAGAATTAAAAGCAGCAAGAGTGCTAACAAGAAGAGGAGGAGCCTGCAAAAGCTAACCTCAACAGCATGCTTAATTTTGGCAACAACTAGAGGTACCAACTCTAGAATTCTAAGCGTATCTCTAGCCTCATCAAAGTACTGAAGGAATGCATAATTATAATCGTTGCCTCCGATTTCACCAACCATAAATAGAGCGTTTTGAAGCTTCCTTTCACAATCTGTTAAACAAAAAGAAAAGGGACAAAATTCAGTGTCATGCCAAAAAATAAAAAAAGTTAATAGAAGTTGAGAAAAGTTGAATGACTGTCACGATCGAATGCACGACACATATATAAAATTTGAATCTACCATTGTGGCAAAATTTGTGAAAGTGATCTTTCATCCACTGAAGCTGTACGTCAAGGGAACTGTTGGTCACTGGATTTCTAACATGATGACGAGCAAGAACAGTTGATGATAGTGCCGTAGCACCGGCTACGGCAAAATTTGCTCCATGCTCAAAATTTGCCTTTGTATCCTTGATCGGATTCAGGAGAGGTAGACCCAGCGCCTGGGCTGTGTTAAAACAACGATCCAAATATTCAGTTAGCGGATGTGATTATGATAGCCTACATAAACAAAAATAAGTAAATAAACATGGAAGGCAAACATCGATGATGAATCACCACTAGGAACATCAGCGGAAGATTGCAGATAAACATAATGCTGCAGGGTTAACCAGTATAACTAAATGGATAATCAGGGCAAGAGTTGCGCATGGTTTTCAGTTAAGGCAGCCAAGAACTATAATAATAATACTCTGGATAATTTACACTCTAAATTTCCTTGTAACACACCAGACGGCGATAGTTCGAATTTTTTCCATCATGCATGCAACTCATTGGCATCTACGTCCTCCACGCAAAGCATTTATAACAAAAAAAAAAAAAAAGAAGAAAGAAAGAAAGAAATCTTTTGCC